GCTCCTTTTTGAAAAACTATAAATGTATCTAGGATCAGAATCCTTATTGTTTATGTAGATGTCATCATAATAAGTTTTTAAACACATACTTGTTAAAAAAAAAACAAATAAAACAAAACTGAGGCTTAGGCTATTTCTAGTTATTTCTGGGTACTCTTGCTTCACACAGTTGTTCACAATGTTCTTCTAAGATGTGTTTTCTGATGCTACTTCGTATTATTTGTATTCTTTTTTTTTTGGAAAGCAAGCTTTATTGAGAGGACAGAAGAGCTCCCACAGTGGGAGGGGACCTGAGGGGATTGCCTTGTATTTGTATTCTTAAAATAAATCGACTGCTGATGGAGTCTATGCAGGGCCATCCCAAGTCTCCCTCATAAAACACCGTGGTTCCATTTTCTTCCCTGGCTTGCATGAAACATCAGTGGGCTATCTGGATTTTTGCTTAGCATGCCAGGCATTTAGTTAAGCAGTAGTTAGCATGTCTTCCTTAGTGTGGTCACTACTGTGATCTTAGTTACTCATAGGGATGATGGAGACGTGGGAGTGAATCCCAAGGCAACATGGGAAAACTTACTTTTCCTTGGGACAACTTTAACATCCATGAATGTTCCCCAGGGCTTCTCATTTCTGTCCTGTCTTCTGTTAGCTTTTATTTTTTTGTGACGTCTCAAGTGTAATATCATTCCTCTTCTGTCTGTCCCTCTTACTCAATGGAAAATAATGCTAACACTTAATATTCCAGAGGAGGACAGTCCTTAGATACTTAGACTAAACATTTATCTTTGTCCTTCTAAAAGGTTGATAATGAGATCTAGAGGTCTCATCTGGTTCTGAAATGTTGAAGTCTATTTGGTACCAAAAGGAAGACTATGCATGAATACTTTGAAGAAATTATAATGGGATGCTCTGAGCCTAATTAGAATGTCTAATTCATTATCCACATTGATCTTTACATTTAGTTTTGTAGAAATGACCACTATATTGATGGTTTTTTACAATATTTCTCTTGGGTAGAATTAATGTAAAAATTTTTAGGTAAAAGCAGTAGGCATATATGTTTTAATAAACGTCATCTTAATATCAGAATCTTTACTCAGAACATAATTAAAAATTATTTTTACAGTTAGAAATACAAGAGGTTGGAAATATTATTGTTAACCATGTTTAAGGGAAATACTTGTGTATTTAAATTACTATGCTGTCTTCAAAGCATATATATATATATATATATATATATACATATATATATATCTTTTAATATTTTAAAATCAAATGTTATATCATAATACGTGCTTTCAAATTCTGACCAACCTTTAGAAACTGTAGCCAAGACATTTATGTACTTATGGTCATTTGGACCAAATCCTTGTTGGCTTATTTTACTGCCACCAAATACTTTTAGAAATGAATTAATACATGTGAGAGGGACTGGAAAACTCTGCTACTGTATAGGTACCTCTGTAATAGTGTTAATCAAGACCCCAGAGACCTCATCTGTGGCTAAGTGGGCAGGAAGGGGAGAGGAAACCATGACTCATGGGACCACAAGTGGTCTAAGTCTGGGGTACCCAAGAAATTCTATCAGCCCCCATGGATGTCACCACATGGATTAGGGGAAAGCAGGGAATTTATATGTAGCTGCTTATGCATCAACTCCTTTGGAAGGACCAATAAGAAGCACATCAGGGTTTAATATCTGCATTTATCAACGGTTACCTGTAGTGACCTGAGCAGAATTGCAAAATTATGTAACTGGGAGAAACTAGAAATTATGTAACTCGAGCATTATTTTTAATATAAGGGATTTACATCTAGAGAATTTAAACTTACTCTGCCTAAGTCTCCTGACCCTGGCTCTTGGTTTATTGATCAGCATCTGATGTGGTGGAACCAGTTGTATAGACTTTTGGTGATCTTGTGTTTAAATCCTAATCATCACTTATCATAAGTGTGGCTTGTGTATTTGAGTCATTTAATTTTTGTGAGCTTCAGCTTCCTTTTTAATAAAAAAAATGATAATCATATATACTTCTCCAGTTTGGGGCAGATTAGGTAAGGGGAACAAATACCCTTGCATTTTGGCACCTGGCATTCCTTCAGGAAAGAGTGCTTCTCTGTTCTTTTACCCAAGCATGTCTGGCTCCTTACTCACGGGAGACCTCAAGCAAACCCTTCTGAGAGCTGAACCTTGGTCAGTAATCTTGAGCTAAGCAGAACACTGATACTAGCCCCCAAAGCTCTAGCAAAAATCAAATTTGGCCGAAAAGACGACTGTATTTCTAATCATCCCAAGGTTGCTTTACGTAGTAACTAGCTGGAACCAGCATCCCCAAAACCAAGCTCACTTCATTTCTGCAAGAATTCTGGTATATGTGCACTACCGAGACACAGTCCTGACTTTCTCTCCATTCTTCCCTCCTTCCATTCTTTCCCCGTTTCCTCCGCTTCTCCTTTCCCTACTTCAGCCCTCCCCCTGCTTCCCTTCACCTCCATTTTCTTCTTCCATATGGATCAAATTTTGGCCACGAGTATCAGTTTCCATTTACTACTTATATCATTATACCTCATTTTCATACAATTCTAATTAATCGGATTTTTCAGAGCTTTTTATCCCTTACAGTTTCTGTCTTTTCTGGAACTCTTTTATTCACAGTTTTCTGTATTCACCATTCCCTATTCACATAGCCAAAAAGAAATATATATCTATACTTTATGAACAGATGGATACTAGATGAAAAAAGAACTCCTGTATACATCTTTCCAGGGATACAGAGCTATACTTCACAGGCAGAAATATAGTTAACAGAGGAAACATAACACACATATATGTCAATGCTCCTTTCTAGCTTAAAAAAATGAGGGTCATGGGTATTTGGAGCAAGGTGTTTCTGGTGAGAGGTGTTACAAGAGAGAGATGAAAAACTGTGCCTGCTTTTGTGGAAGGTAAGAAAAAATTGTCAGTTGAAAGTAAAGATAGATTAGAACAGTGAATTTCAACCTTGAGTATTTGTATCAAAGTAAAAAAAGGATTGGTAATTTAAAAAAATAACTTCTATTATATATTTCTTATTATAAAATAATGTTTTGATGATAGAAATGTTAGAAAATTCAAATAAACAAAAAGAGGAAAAAAAAAACAAAAAGAAAAAAGAAACCATCTGTCATCCATAATCCTAACTCCCAGAGAGAACACAGATAAGAATTTCTTAATGTTTTCTGATGTTTCCCAATATTTTCAATTTTCATAAACACCTGTCCATAGAAACAAATATTTTTCTGCAGTATCATATTTATGACCTTGTGGCCTCCTATTATGTGAGAGTTTCACAATATAAGATTATAAACAAGTCTGCTGTATGCGTTGCTCTCTCTGTATGTATCTTCCCTGATATGCCCTCCTTCGTGGGACGGTAATGACTTACAATGGCCATGTCTTTACAGAAGTTTTCTATAGATCATTTATCTGCCACTGTTGTCTGTCTTTCTTTGCGACTACTATTCTTATTTGTGTGTTCATTCTTTAATAGTAATTTTGATAAATTCAATGCAACAAATAGGAAGATATTGGATGCAGTAGTCATGGCAGCAACTGCAACCTGCACCATTCAATGAAACTTATTGAGCCTAATATGAACTGCAAAGATGAATTTAATCAGTCATGGAAATATTGTCACAAGGGCTGAACTAATTTTTGTTTTTTTGAAGAAAGGTTAAGTTGCACTTAAAGAATGCAATAAATTAGTGGCTATGTTCAATTGGTCTATTGGAATCTTTAAGAATATTATTATACCAACTGATAACTGTAGCCATGTTTATTGCACACCTACCCTGTAACACATTGAACATGCACTAGTTCATTTCTCACAATAGTACCTTGAGTAGTGATGCAATAACCCTACTTTGCAGAAGAATTAATTAAGGCACAGGCAGGGCAGTGATTAGCCTGAGACTAACCAAAAAGTGGAAAAGCTAGTTAGGAGTAGGCTGTCTGCTTGAAGTCTGTCCTTGTTCTTAACCACTATGGTTGGGGTTCCTAGGTATGAGTGTTTTCCTGTAAATTCCAGTTATGGTGCTCCGATACCATAAAGGAATATTTGCATTCCTGTGTACTCTGAGCATTTCCATGAGGCAACTGACAAGTAAAAACAATCCAGAGTATGGAGCTTCAAACTACTCTTCCAGAAATATGTTTGCTCACATTTTAAGGAAAGAAGTGACTTTTTTTTTTTTTAGAGGGTATTTTAAGGAAAGAAGTGACTTTTTTTAGAGGGTAAAATCCAGAAAGACATTTAATTCTAATTATTCAAAACTAAGTAGCACATACAAATGCATCTTTGGAAAGTTTAGTCAAACTTTGAGGAGCGCTTTAAAGCTTCATATTTGAATTTTAGAGTTTGTAGAAGATGTATCCTTTCTCAAGATGTCTGAATTCTTAAGAATGAAGAAAATTGTCACCTGTTCAGAAAACAGTACAGGATAATAGTTGACAACATCGGCTCTGGAGTCAGTTTTCCTGAATCTTCTACACACTAGACATGCAATCTGGCAAAATTCTTAACCTCACTAAATTTCAGCTTCCTGGTCTATAAGATGGAATCACAACAGTCCCAATCTATAGTGTTGTTCTGAGGATTGAATGAGATATGTGTATAAAGTATGTAGCACAGTGCCTTGCATACCCAAGGTTAAATGTTGGTTAATATGATTGGTAGCAATAATTATTATTGGACGTTCACACTCTAAACATATGCAATCCCAGTCAGTTTCTCCTAGCTGAATTACATCCCCCCCCTTGCAGTTGTCTATCCAAAATTAACGCCGAAACTGAGGTACAATTAAAGAGAGCGCCTTTCCCAGTTTAATTCTTCTCCAGCCCTAAAAATCCTCTACCATATTCCATGGTGTTTCCCCCTTTAGTAGTAAAGCTAAGATGTACACAAAATTTTGAAAAATATGCTCTGGCCTCTGGTTTATATTTATGAATGGCTGTTATTCTTCAGGTCAGCTTCTGGAAGCTGCTGAGCATTATGAAGCATTCCATCAATTGACGCAGGGGCGGATATGGAAGGATGAGACAGGCCACTTTCTCAACTTGTTGGCCTGCAAGAGTCTCCTGAGGACTTACAGATTACTCTCAGACAAAATGCTGGAAAATAAAGAATACAAACAGGCCATCAAAATTCTAATAAAAGCTTCTGAAATCACCAAAGAAGGTGGGTGGAAAAGAACACTCTCACATTGCTTTCTTTAATGGGTAGACACTGGTTCTCCCAAGAGTGAAGTAAAAATCGTCGAGTGTTAGGGTGATTATTTCCTATGAAATGCAAAGACAAATGCCATCAATATACTTTCAGATTTTACTGTAAAACAGAGGTGCCTTAATGCTGACAACCAAAAATCCATTAGTTTCTTGAAAGCTTTACCTCCAAAATTACAACCCACTGGGTGTAATGCAAAACAAGGAACACACAGTGAAAAGGTAGGATCATATGCAAAAGTTAATGAGGTGTGTGTAAGGTTTATATCTCTTGCAATCTGAGAGATCCTTCATTGTTTATAAATTTACTATTGTCAAGTGATAGAGAAAATATGATAAATATTTGGTTATGAATAACGGAAAGTTAGGAGTCATTTTAGACCCTTGTCTCTCAAGAGTGGCTTTTGAACCAGCAGCATCAGCATCATCACAAGGCATGTTCTATAAGCTGAGTCTCAGGCCCCAACTCAGAGCTATTGCATCAGAATTAGTAGGTTAGCAAGACCTCTAGGCGATTCATATACACATTTAAGATAGTAAAAATGCTTCTATGACAGCTGATTATCTCTTTACTATTGTGAATGTATATATAAAGAAAAAATTTGGATGTATTCTTATAAGCTTTTGTGAAATTCAAGATTTTATTACCATATAGTATTCATTAATAGAGTAACCTTTTTCATGAAAGAGAAAAAGACAGAAGTTATGTTCTTGAACTGTATGTTATGTTCTTGAAAATATATTTAATTGATTGGCTAATTAAGTGAATTAATTGGTTTTTTAGTAAGTTACAGATAGCTTATTTGGAATGAACAAGACTAGTTTTCTGGATGTGATTTTAATGTACTAAACAGTAAAAGTAAACGGCATATTCTCTCTATTACTTTGAATAATATTAGTTGAAATACTCATAGGAACTCACCCCCATTGAAAGATGTATCTCATTAAATGAACTGCGTTTAGGTCAATTGTGGTCTAGTAACTTCTCCAAAAGGGGAGACACATAGTTAACTTGTAGGTTAGTTTCAGTAGCAAACTTTAGTCACATGGAAAGTTATATGGAATTTCAATGTGTAGGAGAATATCAATTAGAGAAATGTATTTTACTTTAGGTTCAATTTGCTAAGTTGTAAGATAGTTCACAAAGAAAGGAAGGTTCCTTGGGCCTCTTTCAACAACCAGAGTCTGCCAAGCAGTTTTGTTTTTTTTTCATGAAAAGTATCTCTCACTTTCCAAAGGGCAGATAAGGAGAACAGAAGAAAACCTACTTCTTATTCTGTTATAATTTTCAATATCTTTTAAAACCAATAAATATTTGTCCCTGCTAGGCTCGGTGGCTCAGCCTGTAATCCTAGCACTTTGGGAGGCTGAGGTGAGTGAATTGCCTGAGCCCGCGGGTTCGAGACCCGCCTGGGCAACTTGGCGAGACCTCATCTCCACAATAAATCAAAAATTAGCCGGACGTGGTAGCATGCGCCTGTAGTTCCAGCTACTTGGAAGACTGAGGCGTAAGGATCACCAGAGCCCAGCAGGTCGAGGCTGCGGTGGCCGGGAGCAGCCACTGCACTCCAGTCTGGGCAACAGGGTGAGACTCCAACTAAAAAAAAAAAAAAAAAAAAAAAAAAAAAAAAAAAAATATATATATATATATATATATATATGTCCCACATTTTTTGTAAAATAAAGTGCATAGTGAATAGATTATACAATATTTTAACAGCGTTCTTGCAGCAGGTGACATATTTTGGGACAAAGCTTCACTTCCTGTTGTCTCCTATTTTGATCAGGGAGCCTGAAGTAGCACACTGATGATAACCTGAATAAGGGCATTCGTTTACATAAGTTGTTAAGGGGTGCTGCCACCCCTGGAGGCCAGATCCTTTGCTAGGGCACCCTGGTGTAACGCACAAGTTTTGCACCAGCCAATAACTTCCACTTAGTGTAATGATCCTTATAGGACCAAATGACATTCCATTGTATGATTATACCACATTTGCTTTACCCGTTCATCAATTGCTGGACACTTGGGTTGTTTCCAATTTGTGCCTACAATGCTGCAATGAACATTTGCATACAACTTTCTGGTGCTCTTGGATATATACTTAGGAGTGACATTGCTGGGTCGTATGACTACTCTATGTCTAACTTATTGAGGAACTGCCAGTTTTTCAAAATGGCCACTTGACATTTGACCAGCCACATATGAGGGTTTCTGTTTAGCCACTCCTCATCAGCATCTGTTAGGTTCATCTTTGCTATTATAGTCATCCTAGCAGGTATAAAGGGGTGTCTCACTGTGGCTCTGACTTGCATTTCTCTGTAAGCCAATGATGTTGAGCATTTTTCATGTGCTTATTGGCTATTTGTGTATCTTTTTGCAGACATTTCTTCTCCTATTCTTTGTTCATTTGTAACTGGATTACTTGTTTTTGTCATTGAGTTTTAAGAATTCTTTATATGTTTTAGAACAAGTCTTTCATCAACTATATGATTTGAAAATATTTGTTCTATTCTGTGGATTGTCTTTTCACTTTCTGAAGGCATTCATCGAAGCACACGTTTTTATTTTGATGAAGTCTAACTTGTCTAGGTTTTCTTTTGCTGGTCTTGCTTTTGAGATCATAACTAAGAAGGCTCTGATCAATCTAAGGTCATAATGATTTGCTCCTACACTTTATTCTAAGATTTTTATTGTTTTAACTCTACTTAGGTCTACGATCTACTTTTATGTGTGTGTGCACATGGGTGATATGAGGAAGGTACACCTTCCTATTTTACATGTGAATATCTAGTTGTCCTAGTTCTGTTTGTTGAAAACATTATTTTTCCCGATAAATTATCTTGACACCCTTATCAAAAATCAGCTGACCATAAATATGAAGGTTGTTTTCTGAATTTTCAATTCTATTGCATTGATTTATCCTTACTCATTCATCCTTACTGCAGTAATGAATATTTTGCAGTAACTTTTTAAATTGGAAGGTATGAGTGAGTCTTCTAACATTGTTCTTTTTCAAGATTGCTTTGGCTATTCTCATCACTTGTATTTCCACATGAATTTTAGAATCAACTTTTCAATTTTTGCAAAAAGGGAAGCTGAGATTATGATAAGAATTGCATTGAATCTGTTGATCGATTTTGGGAATATTACCATCTTAACACTAAGTTTTTCAGTTCATGAATATGGGGTATCTATTTATTTACATATTACTTGATTTCTTTCATTATTAATGTTTTGTAATTGTCAGTGTACATGTTTTGCTTTCTTTTGTTACATTTATTTATTTATTTATTTATTTTTTGAGTTGGAGTCTCACTCTGTCACTCAGATTGGAGTGCAGTGGCCGCTCCTGGCCACCGCAGCCTCGACCTGCTGGGCTCCAGCGATCCTTCCGCCTCAGCCTTTCAAGTAGCTGGAACTACAGACATGTGCTACCACACCCGGCTAATTTCTGATTTATTGTAGAGATGAGGGCTCGTCAAGTTGCCCAGGCGGGTCCCGAACCCGTGGGCTCAGGCAGTCCACTCACCTTGGCCTCCCAAAGCACAGGCTGAGCCACTGAACCCGGCCATTACATTTATTTTTAATATTTTATTATTTTTGATGGTATTATAAGTGGAACTGTTTTTTAATTTCATTTTCAGAGTATTCATTGCCTATATGTAGGAGTAAAATGACTTTTATATTGATCTTGTAGCTTGCAACTTGCTAAACTCATTTATTAGCTTTGATAGCTTTTATGAATTATTTAGGATTCTCTTTATACAAGATCATGTCATCTGCAAATATAGTTTTGCTTCTTCCTATCTGATCTGTACGCCTTTCCTTTTTCTTGCTTAATTTCTCTGATTAGAATCTCTAGTACAACACAGTCTTAAATAGATGTGGTTCCACGAACATCACTGTCTTCTTTCCTGATTGTAGGGTGAAAGCTTTCAGTCTTTTACCATTGAGTATAATGTTAGTTGTGGATTTTTGTAGATGCTCTTGAATAGGTTGAGAAAGTCCCCTTTTATCTTGAGTTTGTTGAGGTTTTTTTTTCTTAAACATGAAAGAAGTTTGAACCTTTGCCAAATGCTTTTTTTCCTGCAACTATTAGATGATCATGTGATTTGTTGCTGTTGTTCTTCATTCTATTAATATGGTATAGTACCTTGATTGATTTGTATGTTGAACCAACCTTGCATTGCTGGAATTAATCCCACTTGGTCATAATATATAAGCCTTCTTATATGTTACGAAGTTTGCTTTGCTAGCATTTTATTAAGTATTTTTGTGTTTATATCTGTAGGGGACATTTGTTTGCAGTTTTCTTTTCTTGTGATTCTGTTTGATTTGATGTCAAAATAATTCTGGTCTCTAAAATGATTTGGGAAGACTTTCTCTTATTTTTGACAGTGTTTGTAAAGGATTTGTGTTCATTCTTTTTAAATATTTGCTAGAACACACTAGTGAAATCACCTGAAGGTAGTATTTTCTTCCCGAGAAGACTTTTCATTACCAATTCAATTACTTTACTTGCTACGGGTTTATTCATATGTTCTATTTCTTCTTGAGCCAATTTTAGTAGTCTGTGTATTTCTGGGAATTTACATATTTCATCTAGTTTGTCTAACTTGTTAGTATACAGTTGTCCATAAGATTTCTTTATAATCATTTTTATTTCTGTCAGGTCTATAGTTATTTTCCCTCTTTCATTTTTGATTTTAGCAATTAAAAGTCTTCCTCTTTTTCTTCTTTGGTCATCTAAATAAGAGCTTGTTAATTTTGTTGATTTTTTTCAATAAGTTAATTTTTTGTTTTGCTGACATTTTCTACTGTTTTTCTATTCTCTATTTCATTTATTTTCACTCTAATGTCTATTGTTTAGTTGGATCCTCTTTTTTTAGCTATGTAAAGCAGAAAGACCTTTCTTATTTTAAAATATAGACATTTATAATTATAAATGTTCCTCTATGCACATCTTTAGCTGCATCCCATAGTTTTGATTTGTTGTATTTTTTATATTCATTCATTTCAACATAATTTCTAGTTTACTTTGTGATTTCCTCTTTGACCTATTGATTATTTAGGAGTGTGTCTAATTTTCACATAGATGTGACTTTTCTGTTATGTATTTTTAATTCCACATTATTGTGAATACCATCCTTTCAAGTGAGTATACCCTACAACCATATTTAACATTGGAACCCGCTTAGTCCTCTGCACCCCCACTTTGTACTTCCAATTCCCCTTACCCTATTCTAGTTTCCCCAGAATACTTATCACCATACAACTTATTGCCTAATTTGTGTTTTTTGATTATTTTCTGTTTTTTTCTGTCTTTATCCTCTAAAATATAGTTTTGGTATTTGTGTCACTCAATTTCAATAGTGATTATAGTTGTTAATCCTATTCTCACTAATGCTTTCCCATGATACTTTACTGCTTTCACCTTATCTTAACTCTGTCTTTGTTAGTAAACAGGAAACGTTTCCATGTTTAAATACTGTTTTAAGGCTAACATTTGATATTTCCCATCTGTTTCAACTAGCTGCCTCAAAAGATCTCTTTCTGTCAGCAGAAGTAGATTTTTCTTTGTTTTCTCTTATTTTCTGTGCTTCCTCTTACATAAAATTAGATGCAAATGATGGTACGAATCAGCCCAGGTAGTTGCTATTGCTTTAACATTATTACACCACTTAACACAGCAGATACAACCTACATACAGTGAACTTTTAATTGTCTGCAAAGTAACTTCCTGTCACAGCCTCTTCTTTCTAATCCATCTGCCTCTCCTTAGTCCTACCCCTATCCCCAGCATCTATAAACTTATAGCAGAGAAAATGTTAGGGCCCAGCTGAACTATATGAGTTAAAATTTCCTGACTGGATCACTGGCACAGTGAACTCTGCTAAAATGTAATCTTGAGGGTATAATTCTCTGCAATCAGTGAAATAGCTAGAGAAAAAGAAAAAGAAAGGGTCGCTGACATTTGCTGTTCTGTTTGCTTGAAGTTTTCAAAGAGCCACTGCTTCAGCAGTGATAATGTAGTGAGTAGTGAAGTGAAAGTGAGTGCAGTATGGAAAATTGTTCCTGCTGACATCCTTCATGGATGGGATGCAGGGTTCAGATGTCTAAAGATAGTTACTTTCAAAGATCAAAACCAATGTGGCTCAGTCAGCATTTGCTTTAGGCAGGAGTTAGGTCACACTGGAAGCCAACGTTCAATTTAATATACTAAATGTAAATAAACTATATACTTGTTGAACCACATGTTATACCTTTACACATTTTGCTTTTGGAAGGAAACGGGTAATTCCTGGAATAAAATTAGTAAAGCATCACAGAAATTAGAAAGACTACCCTTTTTGCAAAAAGATGATAAAAAAAATTACCAGTACCAGTGATTAGCAAAGAAAAGTGTTTGTATTTCAAAACATGCATATTTCACAATATGAATTTTGCATCAAGAAATGAAGCTCTGTGAGTTATTTTTACCCAAGCTTTGATCAATAGTTTTTAAACTAAACATATCAAAATAATAATTCCTTTATTTGCTAATTATTACACTATTAGAAACTGACCTGAATGTGAGTCCCTGTGACTGACAATGAGTGATTGTGCACCATTTAATGCTGCTAACCTTTGCCTGTTATTTCACATATGCAGTAGCAGCTATGCTAGATGGCTAGAGGTCTTTATGTGGTAGAATAGTATAAAAATTATATATGAATGCCAAAATGATAATACAGGGCTGTGTATATAGAGATAAACCCTTCATTATTTTATTGCTAATGCATCTTATTCTCATATCTGTGGTTCAGGTAAATTGTATTTGTATCAGCCTTTCTTTCAGCACATAGCTGGGTTTAAAAGATCATTGATAAATCTGTATACTTTTAAAAATAACTTTCTACTGTCTTGAAAAGTGAGGATTCTATTTGTTGTACTAAGCAATGTCTTTAATGCATGATAACTTTTGTACACCATCTCTTTAGGAAGTGACAAGGAGATGCAAGGAGAAGCGTCTTACTACTTGGGCTTAGCCTACTTGGCTGTCGGAGAACATGAAACTGCACTCAGAGTAAGTTGAAGTAAACTTCATCACTGCCATTTTTAATTTTTATTTGATTATATTTATTTTATTTTACTGTATGCTGTTATAAGGCCAGCTGAAAAGGGTTGAGCCTGATGGCAGTGTGCCTATTTACTGAGACTAAAACATAAGAGCAATATGCTACAAGCATACCAAAATTTGACTTATTGTTCATGGAAGGTACAGTGGCATGAAGTGCTTCAGGATAGGTGAAAGTTAAGCATATGGAATAATATTTTTAATTTTATTTTAAAGATGAGGGGTGCAATACAGGATTGGGTATACAAGTGGACTTTATACAGGTAAAGTTTGGGCCTCCCTTTGGTCCCCACTTTGCCTGGCTTGCAATGAGATACTCTTATTATGTTGTGTCCTCCCCCTCATCCCGGTAGTATCCTGCTACCGCCAAACCCTTTCTTATAGTATCGTGCTAAATGTTCAGGGTCCACTTATGTGAGAACATGTGGTATGCAGTTCCTTGTTTCTGTGATATATCCTTGAGTATTACTGATGCTAAATCCATCCAAGTTGCTGTGAAGTTCATATGTTTGTCCTTCTTTATGGCTGTGTAATATTCCATCATGTACATATACCACATTTTTTGTTATCCAGTCAAGTTTCAATGGGCAGCATGATTGGTTCCATGTTTTTGCTATTGTGAATAGTGCTGCAATAAACATGCATGTGCAGGTTTCTTTTCTGTAGATGTTTTTAGTTCCTCCAGGTATAGTCCCAGGAGGGGGATTGCTGGGTCATATGGAAGGTCAATTTCTAGTTATTTTAGAAATCACCACACTGTTTTCCATAAAGAATGAACTCGTTTGTATTCCCAGCAGCAGTGTAGAAGTGTTCCCTTTTCTCCACATCCTCACCAGCGACTGTTGTTTGTTTTATTAACGATGGTCATTCTTACTGGGGTTAGGTGGTATCTCAATGTGGCTTTGATTTGCATTTCTCTGATGATTAGTGAGGCTGGGCACTATTTCATGTGTCTGTTGGCTGCCCATTTATCTTCTTTTGAGATGTATCTGTTTATGTCTTTTGCCCACTGCATATGGATTAATAAGACCCTCTACACTCCGTGTCACTAAGGGCAAGAAGAAATAGGTTTCAATGACAGCAAAGAGTAACTAGTAAAAAAGAAATGGCAGTAATTTTATAATATGATTTGGGAAATTTTGCATAGAAAATAATGTGCTTATTAAGTGAAAGAGAGTTTCTCCAATGTTGATCTTTAGTGTATGGAGGGGAGGCAGTGAAGGGGGGGAGCTCATTGCTAGTCCCAGTCTGAAAATTAGCCTGCTTTATGATTAACTCAGCATTTGCCTATGTCACAACCCAGATTTTGTTTGGCTAAAAATAGATAGATAGATAGATAGATAGATAGATAGATAGATAGATAGATAGATAGATAGATAAAGAGCTATCCTTCCTGAATAATAACTGAAGTAATTTTTCTTCTTCTCTAACATATTTTAAGTGTAACTTCCTATTTCACTTCCCATACATCTCTTGTAACAATCCTATCTGATATAGAGTATTGACTTAATTTTTAGTTTTAAGGATCTTATTTGCACCTTTAGATATTTATGCTAAGTAGAGTTCCCATATTTGGGTTAGATATTTTCCTCTAGAACCCTTATAGTTGGTCATTGTAGAAAACATAGGTTTTCTTAGATGATTCTTATGCTTAATATTTTTCTTAATGATAGGCATTCAGCAAAGCTCTGTTTCAGGTACCTTGAGAAACACAGAGGCCAATAAGATGCATACTTCCCTTTAGGAGCTAATTTAATGATGGTGATCAACTTGCAAACATAACTGTAATTCAAGGCCACATGAATGGGACTGTCTAAGTGCTGAAGAAAGAGTGGTTGGTTCCAACACTGAAGAGATCAGGGAGCCTGCACACAAAAAAAAGTTTTTGAGGAAGAGAATTTCTACATGCAGAAAACATGAGTCCAGGATGATAAGCATTACACACACACACATACACACACACACACACACACACACACACACACACACACACACACACACACACATACACACACATTCTCTCTCTCTCTCTCAAAATGAGCATACTCTTTGTCATTGTGTTTAAAGAACAATGACTTGTCAGGTGAAACATGAGATTCAGTAGGAGTTTAGGTTGGAAAATTAGATGAAGACTAGCTATAGATATTTTTGCCCTCTCTCTCATGTAATGGCAGCACATGACTAGATAAAGTCAAACAATACAATAGCGTTTGCAGTTAAAAATAAATTTTCTTTCCATTCCTGTATTCAGTCTCATAGTTCCTTTCTCAAATATTTCTGATTTATCTTTATAAAATATTCCGTATATGCCTACCATATAAATGCATGTACATATATGTGTGTTCTTTTGTTATTTAGAAAATGGTAGCATTTTTGGAAGGCTGAGACAGAAGCATCCTCTGAGCCCAGCAGGTCGAGGCTGTGGTGGCTGGGAGTGTGCCACTGTAGTACTCCAGCCTGGGTGACAAAAAATGAGATTCCAACTCAAAAAAAAAGTAATAATAATGGTAGTGTCTTATACACATTGTTCTGCACCTTGAGTTAACTTTGTCCATATTAATGCATATAGACATGTCTTATTTTTTATTTTTATAACTTTATTGAGGTATAGTTGGAAGATAAACATTTTACATGTTAAAGATGTACAAAGTGATGCTTTGATATATGCATACATTGGGATTTCCCCAAACTAATTGACTTATCCATTACCTCACCTATTTACCTATTTTTTTGTAAATTTCAAGTATACTGCACGTCATTATGAACTATAAATAAGCCTCATTTCGGAAGGGTTACATGTTATCCCACAGTATGGCTGTAACACAATGGAGTCAAACAACTTCTATTGTTGAGCATTAAGGTTGCTATCAATAATTTTTTATTACATAGTAGTGAATAGTTTTGTCAAATGTGAAAAATTTGCCCATAGAATAGATTCCTAGAGGTGAAAATGCTGATACATTCTATACTCTAGTGGTATAGGATAGTCTAGAAATGTAAGCATTGTAGAAGCAATATTTGACATCCAAGTGATGAATTTCTTGAAATTGTTACTCCTTTCAGAAATGTATTAAAATTGCTTTTCTGAAAGGAAATTTGAATTTCACATCCATAACCTACTATGACCTTGAGCAAGTCTGTTAACATCTTAATGGCCTCTTCTATCTAGTGGGACTATTAACAACACTTAGTTATGGAGCATAGTGGGTTAAACATTGCCCCCCCCCCCCCCCCCCAATAGATCCACTTCCTAATTCCTGGAACCTGTGAATGCAGATGTTAAATTCATCTTGTTAGGGATCTTGAGATGAGGTGACTGTCCTCAATTATCTGATGGACTCTAAATCCAAAGACTAGTACCCTTATAAGAAAAAGAAGAGGACTGGAAACAGAAGGCAAGAAGACACATACACAGAGGAAAAAATGCTGTGAAGACAAAGGCAGCAATTGCAATGATACAGTCAAAAGTCAAGGAATGTCTGGAGCCACCGGAAGCTGGACAAGGCAAGGAAGGATCGATCCTTTTTTAGACCCTTCAGAGGGATTGCAACTCTGCTGACATGTTCATTTCAGACTCCTTTTTTTTCTATTAAATTCAGGGGATACTCATGCATGTTCACAACATAGATATATTGTGTAGTGGTGGGGATTAGGTATCAGGTGACCCATTCCCCATATAGGGAACATTGTACCCAATAGGTAATATCTGAATCCTAGTCCCCTTCCTCACTTCCCCCTTACTGGTATCCTCAGTGTCTATTATTTCCATCTTTGTGACCATTTAGCTCCCACATATGAATAAGAACGTGTAGTGTTTGGTTTTCTGTTTCTGAGTCAGTTAATTTAGGATGATGACCCTCCAGCTCCATTCATGTTGCTGCAAAGGATATGATCTTATTCTTTTTTTCTTTTTTGACTGTATAGTATTCCATGTTGTATGTCTACTAAATTTTCTTTGTCCAGTCAATTGTTGGTGAGCATTTAGGCTGGTTCCATGATTTTGCTGTTATGAATGGTTCTGCAATGAACTTACAAGTACAGATACCTTTTTTACATATTGATTTATTTTCTTTGGGGCCCCTAGTTGTGGGATTGCTGGTTCAAACAGTAAAATTCAATTTTTAGTTCTTTGAGAAATTCCCGTTTTTTTTCCATAGCAGTTGAACTAGTTTACAGTCCCACCAACAGTATCTGAACATTCCCTTTCCTCTGCAATAATGCCAACATCTATTGTTCTTTGACTTTCTAATAACAGTCATTCTGACTGATGTGAGGTAATATGTCATTGTGGTTTTAATTTTCATTTCTCTGATGATATGATTAATGATATTGAACATTTTTTCATATGTCTTCTTTTGAAAGGTGTCTATTCATGTACTTTGCCCACTTTTTGATGGGGTTATTTGTTTTTTTCATGTTGAGTTGAGATCCTTATAGATTCTGGATATTAGCCTTTTGTCTGAGGCTCAATTTGCAAATATTTTCTTCTGTTCAGCAGTTTTTCTGTTCACTCTGCTAATTATTTCTTTTGCTGTGCAGAAGCTTTTTAGTTTAATTAAGTCCCATTTGTCTGTTTTTGTCTTTGTTGCAATTGTTTTTGGGGTCTTTGTCAAAAATTCTTTGTCTAGGCCAATGTCCAGAAAAGCGTTTCCTAGATTTTCTTCTAGGGTTTTTATAGTTTCAGGTCTTACATCTTGATTTCAGGTTCCTACCCTTCAAAGCTATGAGAGAATAAATTTGTGTTATATTAAGTCACTTAGTTTGTAGTAATTTTTATGTGAGCCCTAGGATACCAATATATAGAGTGATTAGAAGAGGTAATTCATATAGTTTTAAAAGAGTGTCTGCCTGTTATACAATAAGCCATTGATAGTGTTTAGATTTTATTATTTTCACACTTATCTAAGTCTTTGGACTTGACTAGCGGTAGTGAAGATAGAGGGTACTAG